CAAATTTACAATGGATGTGGAAGACCAAACAATTATCTTTCTTTGATATGGAGATCATTGCCCAAATAAACTCTTAAGAAACGGCTGTTCCGAAAGAAATCACATATAGGTATAACACTTAACTTTGTGTTTAACCATATTTATGAAATGAAGAAAGAAATACTAGGAAGTATGGTCATTAGAATCAACACATCACTGATTCTGAATTCCAGGAAGAGGAACTGGGAAAACTAATTCATATGTTTCTATGAACAGATATACATAAAAGGTAATACAAAACCGCCTATAGATCGTGATGAGACGGCAGGAAGCGAATTATTAAAGGAAAGCAAGGTAAATAGAAGTGGGTTGACCTCGTTGTCGCAACTTGGTCTTGTTTTCAGGAAGACATTGTAGAACGCACCTAGTCCGAAGTCGTCTGCCATAGTAGTTGTCATGATTCCCAGCATCTGACAGTGGATTTGATACATTCTTAGACGTTTCGCCGGCATCGTAGTCGGCATCATCAGTGAGCTTTGCCATTCTCCGCACCAAGATACGAACTCGTCAAAGTGAAGTCAATCCCTCTACAACCGTTCTGCCAAAAATGGTTACACTATCACTCCTCTTTCTGCCCTGGCCTATCTATCTACTCTTTAGCCTTTTATCCCACTGCCGCCCTATCACAACTTTTCACTTGTTTACATTCCAATTGTCAAAATGTGTGCAATTTTGTAGCAAATCTAGTGTGGCCCCATCACACTTGCTACTTACCCCGACGCCTCTCTTTCGATGGGCTTATCCCACTCGAGCCTCCAATCCGGATACTTTCATTGTCTCGTAATTCCATTCCTTATCTTTCTGATTGACCGATTTCACTCGGGGGTGTGTGCATTTCACTCCAGGCGCTATTTCTCAAGGCCCAAGAAGCACATACACTGCCGCTTCACTGATCGGAGCGCTTAAGTTCTGATTCCCATGCTTGCAGATATCAGGCCTTCCCTACACTGGTCGTCTCCTTTATTAAACACATGTTATCTGAACAAAATGTGGACACCTATCTCTGGTCGCATGCGGCATCTCAAGTGGATTTCTAGTGCATTTTGGCCAGAACCCCTAATTTCTATGGAGGTGTGCTCATCCGTCTGCCTAGCTCCCTAACTGCCAGGCTCCCAAAGTTGTAGTGGTTTATTCAAATGGCCATCAGTCAATGACAACATCTTCGCTTAATTGCCGAATACCCCTGCCCCCCCTTACGTCATCGCAAACCCTTTTCCTCCGGTTAGCGGCAGATCTCTGCTCCAGGCGTATCCTTTTTACTAGTCCTGCTCTATTGTTTTCCCCGATTTTGCTTAGGCAGAAGGCAAAGTTATCGCTAACTCTACCTTCCTCCAATCTCCTGTTCATTAGATTTGTATCCCCAAGGGTGTGATGAGGCCATACTCGGTGTGCCACAAAAGGACACACATTTTGATGATTGGAATGTAAACAAGTAAGAAGTTTTGATAGGGCGGCAGTGGGATAAGAAGGTAAAGAGTAGATAGATAAACAATGACAGAAAGAGCAGTGATAGTGTAACCGTTTCCGGCAGAATGGTTGTCGAGGGATTGACTTTACTTATCTCTTTGACTAGTTCGTATCTTGGTGGGGAGAATGGTATAGCTCACTGATGATGCCGACTACGATGCCGGCGAAACCTTTGAGAATGTATCAAGTCCACTGTCAGATGCTGGGAATCATGAGAACTACTATGGCAGACGATTTCGGACTAGGTGCGTCCTACATAGTCTCCCTGAAAACAAGACCAAGTTGCAACAACGAGGTCAACCCACTTCTATAAATCGAAAGGAGACTGCGACCATACCAGAGGCCACAACATCTTGGTCTCCATATCTTCAAGGGAAGTAGAGTTTACTCTCCTGGGAATTTGCTCGGAATCTGCCGTCAATAATATGCAAATGGAACATTCGTACAATCCTAAAGAATAGGACAAGCTTCTTCACCGACTTGCCCAATCAACATGAAAAAGTCAACAAAATTGAGTGCTCCGAAATTTATAGTATAAACTGCAAGAAATGTACAAAAAATACATCGAACAGACGAAAAGGACAATCAGCACAAGGATCAAAGAATACCAACGATCATGCAGAAAGATCGGAGCTATTTGAACACATCTCCTTGCTTGGCCACAAAATTTACTGGTGTCACGAAAAGACTAGCATGATAGAAAACGCAAGATCAAGGAGGCCGCGGGCATGCTCATACAAAAAATTGATAAATAGGAGATTGGAAGAGGAAAAAATCAGCAAGAATGTGACTGGGCAAACTTGGAGATTCAGAAAAGAAGGCTAAAAGAAGACGCTTGGTCCAAGAACTATTCAACAACAGGAAGATATCGCCAAAAAGAGGATAATTAGAAACAAAGAGAAGTCAAGAAAATGGTAGTGCATTGAGAAAAGTCGAACCTAGAACCGGCTTGAAAATTTACCGATATGGATCCACCCGTACGATGTGGCCTAGGGACTTAAAAGCCAGAAACATACAGATTATGCACCATTAAAAGTGCTAGGTTAAAGATATAGGTTCTTTGGAGATTCATCAAGTTGTGGATACCGACCTAGTGTGAACAATATCAGTTGCTTCAAGTGAGTGTGTGTGAGCGTGCTTGTGTGCATTCTTCGTATGTCTACCGTAATGAGACATGCCTGATCAGAAATGACCCCAAATAGCGTACTCATGAACAACCGACTAGAAGGGACAGTGAACTTGAGATACAAAAGGAATGTGCTTTACGTAATTAAAAAGTGGAAAAGGTAATAGATGCATTTCCACACAAGCGGTGCCGAATTATGACGGGCTCAATGCGCCAAAGACTGAGATACCATTGGGTTGGGAAAGAGAAAGAGGATATCGGAGTCATAGGTATGAAGCCTAGAGAAAGAGTGATTTTGATGTGTAGCTGGGACCAATTGGCAAGCGGATTGGAAGGAGCTAATTAAAGTAAGGAGCCATGATCCAGAAGCTCTGCATACGGCATCTGAAACCGATGGTGGAAGTGATTACGCTTAACTAAATCCACTTGTAGCGACATTGGACGGAACGAGAGCACAGGATTATGTGAATAGGTAAATGGACGATATGAAGTAGGTGGGTTAACCTCGTTTTCGCAATTTAGCCTTATTGTCAAAGGGACTTAGTAGAGTTAAGTCAATCTATCGACCAACGATCCGCCGAAACGGTTACACTATCACTTCATTACGGTTCAACAGAAAGTTGGTCAGGAAGATTACCTTTACTTTTCACTCAAAAGTTGTAACTGTGCTAAGGATGGCGTCTCCTAATGAGAATTTCGAATATGATGCCGGCGAAACGTCTGGAGATGTACCAAGTCAATAGTCCTATGCTGGAAATTGCGAATGAAGTGGCAGACACAGGATCAAGTGCCTTCTACAAGGCCTCCCTGTCTCACATAGCAAGTTGTGAAAAAGAGGCCAAACCTACACTATAAAGGGGTATGTTGCAACTTGAACTTCTATCCAGCCCAGTAACTTGACATTTATTGAGGTATGTAGTAAAGTGTGAAACTTGGGTGCATTTAAATCATTCTGATCTCATTGTATGTAATTATTAAAGAAATGAAAAGTGGGGACTGCAATGTAACCTGGAAGAGAAAATACTTTAAGAGTAGTGGCGGAAAATTCTATAGGAAGAGCATAGCTTATTTTAGATTAGTCGTGAAAGCTCATCTAAAGCTTTTAGAACACCACTTTATCATTAGTGCCTTTTTACACTTTGCGACAATATAGATAAAGTTAAAAGCAATATAAACCAAGAAGTATTATTTTCATTAAAATTTTTTATAATATCTTTAAGGTAATCACTTGCAAATGACCTGAGCAAACTTCTCCGATACATTCTGACGAATTGGCGGGCCAGATTCGTTTTGTCCGACCAAAAACCCACTGGGCCCAGCTCCGGTAATGCTGCCTGCAGAAGAGGCGTCAGCACGCCCGTGCAAACTGGGTACGCCCGTGTCTGCCCGTTGTTGACGCTTACGTCTCAGCTTTGCTACCATGGTAGACGGACCAGCATAAATTATGCCAGTTTTAGATTGTTTTGCAACGTTCTTTGACTTGTCTATTATCTGATCAGGGGGGATTTTTTTAGAAATATCGTGAGCCTTATGAGAGGCTGAGGAAGTTGAGGAGGATGTGGGGGTGGTAGTAGAAGTATCGGTAGAAGAGGTCGATGCCTCTGAGTCAGAAACGTCGGAAGAATTATCTGAGACTGTAGAAGAAACTGAAGATACGGTAGAGGACGATAGGGAAACAAATGAGTCCTGACAGCCGATTCGGTCACCAGTCACACCTAATAGACTCGAGCTTGACTTCCCATCCTTATTACGATGTCTTTGTTGGTGCTGGGGTTTTAACCGACAATGCCGCTGGTGTCGATGCTTGGTCTGGTTATCAAGTAATGACGGTGAATCTGCAGAGGTCTTAGATTCAGTAGATCGCGTAAACCGCCGGAACATCCGTGCAGAAAGAAAACGTCGGTTATTAGCACTGGCTGAAATGACAACAGCGGAGGAACTAGATAGAAGTGGCTTCACTTGTAGCATGGACGAAGATGGTAAGACTCGTTCCTCAGATGTAGGTATGCTGCAACCTATGAGTTGCATGTTGTTGATGACTGAGCGCGCAGAAGCCTCCGAGGCACCAAAGTGATCAGCTGATGCATCAGACCCTGACAATTAGTACGTGTGTATGAATACGCATTGTTGATGGAGCGTAAGAGTAATCGACAGAGAAAATCTGCTCCAAATTCATCCTCTTGATAAGTCATAAGAATGGGTAAGACTTCTTGGCCTTTACAACATACAACAATGAATGACGACAGATCAAAATAATAAAATCATTTATGATTACAAAAATAAAGACTACAACAAAGATGAGAACAAGCGAGAAAATGATTCTATCTAATTGGTATCAAGTATGTGAACATGAGAATGCATGCAAATTTATTTAACAATCAAGTAGTAGAATATGTTTTATAACTCTGCAAAGAGAAATTAAGCCGCCATATAATAAAACCAATAAATCGAAAAATAAAATCCATTAATTTGTGAAAGAAGAAAGACCAACACAAATTAATCCAGTTTCTTGTACAATGAACAGAGGACTTCTTCACAAAATTCTACTGACAAGGCAATATTCCTTGAGTTTCAGATGAGGCTAAATGAAGAATTTACTCCATCCGCTATTCCAAATAAAAGTAAAGGTGCGTTATTATCAATTTACTAAGGGATTGGTCGAAGCCAAGCGTTAAGCCTTACTTACAAAAGATATTTGACCTCATTTGCGCAACTTGACCGCGTTGT